AGACACTATCACATGCTTAGAAGGCATACTGGGTTTAAGCTTATTATTTTTTTGGTATTTCATAATACTCTGAATACATTAAAACTGGCCTTTGCCTTGACAGTCTGAATAAACCAAAAGCATTAAGATTAGAGATTGGAGTTTCAATTGTTAACTTCAGCAGCTGTTTAGTAATTTAGTTATTTATTTCTATTTTCATTGCTAGATCTTTTACATTTTGGTTGGGTCACACCAGAAAATGAAGTGGGAGAAGTTGTATGGACTACATATTGTTCTCACTTTAAATTTAAAGACAGCATATGAATGATATGAAATAAGTGTCTGAGCTACAGAAGTCCTATTGATGTACAGCTTACTAAGGTGTTTAATCTGTATTTCTCTGTACACAAATTTACTCTTCTTTACTCTTTTTTACCAATGAAGTCTGACATAAGTTATGCTCTTCTGCAAGAGAATACTCTCATGCTTCAGAAAGAAAGTGTGGGATACAGACTGCCTGAAAAGTTAAAAGAATTAAAATCGAATTTCAATGATCCAAAGAAGAGGTCAAAATATTTCATGTTTGTTTTTTTTAACAGTATAAAAAGGACATATCTAAAAACATTTTCATGTCTTGGCATTAGCAATCTGCAGTCTTTATTTAAGTGCAAATACGGTAGATTTTATTAGGAAATGTTGTGTGAGATCACGTGTATGAAATGTACTGGGAGGACTTTGGAAGAACAGGTTTAAGAGTGACTTAAGCAGATGATCATGAAGCAGATGTTCCAAAACATCAGTCTTTGCAGGGCTACTTTCTGTTTCTTAAACATAGGCTACTAGCCAGTATTATATTCAATCTATATTCATTTTGTCAACCTCAATCACAGTTCACCATTCTCTCAATCTGTTAATCATGTCAGTTCACTTTTTTTTGTTTCTCCTTAACCATTTGCACGAGTGACTTCTCTCTCTGTGGTGTTTCTTTCAGCACCACTTTCGTAAGTTGTGTCTTGATTATAAGGATCAATGGATCCTTTCAACGAGCATCTAGGCTCCACCAAAGGTGGGAGGTTTTCTCTTAAACACAGCTCTCAGTGCTTAACATCCCTTTTCAAGGTGTCTTCCAGGATGAGCAGGTTTTACTGGAGCCTCTTCACTCTCTTTAGTATGAACACACGTCATCACAGAGAGACTCCGTAATTGAATTGTTTTTAACATTTATATAGCATACATATTATCTGCCGCAAGTGTGTTTGCAATAGTTCAGGTCAGGTCTTTGCTTATTTAGTAGTGATAAGTAAAGGGTCAATTTACAACTACTAGAAAAAGGAAACAAATACAGGAAATATATGTTACACCGTATTATATTTTAATGGAGGGTATGTTCGGAGCACCTGGGGCTTAGATTACCTAGTAACAATCTGTATTGCTGTGCCAGAGAAGGTCAGAACTTGTGATACAGTACCTTCCCCCAAGGTTTTATTTCATAAATAAACTTATTTTGTCCCAAAGCAAGAGCTTCAGAATAACTTCATAAACGTCTTTAATTAAAAATGAAGTATTTGGCATCCACCAGGAATCTGTTTAAAGAATTTTTTATTAACCTTTTGATTTTATTAACTTTTGTGCATCAATAGAACTATAAGTGCATTTGTGCACTCATAGAACTATAAGTATGGAGTATAAGATTTTCAGCTAGAGCAGGGGTGCCATACTTGGTTTCTGGAAGGCCTAGAGTCTTCCATGTTTTTGCTTCCATATACACAATTAACCAAATTATTTTCACACTTGGACATGTACAGTATAGAGAAACTAATAGGAAAAAAGAGTGGCTGTGCAATTGGCCAGCTAATGGAGAAAAGAGCTGTCTTGGGAAAAAATTGAAATGAGACAAAATAGTGTCCATTTACTAAAGTGGTCCAGTGCAAAAAATTGAAAAGAAAAAAAAAACAGATTGTAGCCGAATGTGTTACCTCTTTTAACACAAATAGTTTCACATTAGGTTTTTAAGAAAATCCAAGCTGTGCAATAGTACATAGGACAGGTAAGATTACTCTTACAACTGGGTTTATAGAGAGGAAGGCCTGCTACAACATGAGTCCCGGGTTAAATACCATAAGCTCTGCCCCTAACTCCACGTGATGGACAGGTAAACTCATTTGAACCAGAGCTGAGTCAGTGTCACTCTGTAACCCAACACAAAATGATGGCACAGACAGGAGATAAGAAACAACAAAAAAAGCAACGAGGGTTTATTGTTAATCCGCAATAACAAAAGGTAATACATACGGACGGGCTTTCAAACTATATGGTTGAGGGCCAAACCCAAGGCAGCTTTAAGAAATAACCATTTCGGTTTCAGTTGGCTACTAAACCTCCAAAGGAACAAGAAAGACCAATGGCTTCCTTATAATTGCAGACTGTTCTTATGTTCTTTAAAATAATGAACACAGATACATCCGATAAGAAGAAAAATAATATCCTTTTTGCTCTGATATGATGGATGAACATGGAAATGTGATATTAATGTGGGAATTTAGGTATGAAAACCTTCATATATGCAACAATAAATTAATATCTTTGAGGGTCTGCATATTGCAGGAAGCGGGTAAAGACTAAGAGTTAAAAAAGTGTAGAGTGTCGTGTCCACACCTTTCTACAGCAGAGACGTAAACAGATCATCTATGGATCCGAGAGCTAGGCTGGAACAAAAACCACAAGGCGTTACAGGAACTGAGTCTGACACCTCTGGTCTGGACCTGTCATGCCACAGCAACTACTGCAGCTGGTCAGGTGCATGTGGGCTTGTAACAATAAAGTGACATCTAGCCCTTGCACTGCTATATGGGCTCGGCAGCCTGATAATATGCTGCTGAGAGTGTCATCATCTCTCCTGGGTTAGTACAAGAGTTCTAGTCAAAATCCAGCTTGATGAGGGTTTGGCACATTTAAAACAAATGGAATGCATAAAGTGAAAACATTAATGAGTAATGAGTAATGACTTAGTTAAAAAAAGGGGACAAGCTAGAAGTTTATTTCACTTAAAATGTAATGTTCTGCGATATTTCCACCTCAATTATTGCAGACGAGTAGGTCAAGAATTCTTGGTTTAATCAGCCTAAATTAAGATCATGACCAAAACAGAAAACACGTTGCCATCCTCTGCATCGAACTTCAGCAGGGAAAATTCAGTCAAATGAACTCAGATGCTGTGCAAAGGATGGTTCTGCAGTCTAAAACAGGGCTGCAAAATATCAAGTGATCCGTTTAAAAATAAAAGGTAAGTAGGACCTGGAGCAGAGAGGTACAGACTGCGCAAAAGTGGTGTGAGTCAGCAGTGCTTTACTTTTTATTCTTCCTCAGTTCTGGCTTCTATTGTCCACTGTTTGTCCAGCTCACGTTTAGTGGACTGTGGGAACGGATTAGAGTTTCATGCTTTTTTACAGAAACCCCTGATCAAAGGCATTCCTTGCATAACAAAACAGTGTATACTGTGTCACACACACAGACACCCCTGCACCCACACAGACTTGCATTCACACAGCCAGCCTAAATGCCCCCACTGAAGGACTGTATGTGTGGAAAAATAATTCAATGGAGGAACTGTATTTCCTCTAGAAGAAATTGATTTCAAAATCATCACATTAAATATCAAGTGGGATTAGGAGCATCAACGTATTTTAACACTGACAATGCTGGTTATTGTACAGGTCTTATCTGAATCCTATGACAAAAGATGATTCTTCTTCCTTCACTTGGAAAATTCCTCTTATGGAATACTCATTCCACTTTATACAGTAATGGAGTATTAATCTAGTTTTCTTAAAAGTGTTACACTTACACAAAAACGGAAGTGTCTCATTTAGTGGCACAACTTTAGTACATTTGTTTTACAGTGAATGATAAAGTTTGTATAAACTCTATTCCTGACATATTCTTGGTAATAAATCATTTTTTTAATGAGTTAAAATACCACTCTTGATTTCAGCCAAGTCATTTTTGTGGCACGCAGTATTCAGCAAAAAATTTCATTTCCCAGTTTGAAGTATACAGTATGAAACCCCGACAGAACGTTTATCAGCTTATTTGAATTAAAATGCACGTAACATATAGAAATACACAAGACGGTAGTTTTTTTTTGAAAGTTTTGCCTTTAATTCTATTTTACTTTGTTGTTTAAAACAAATCTATTACAGGTCTGGTAGTGAAGAATGTGCATTTCAGACCAGTGACTGTAGAAAAAAGCAGAAGATTTAAAAGTCATCTCTGTAATTTCACGGCTCCTCTGTCAACCTTTGGCCTCCAGAATAAACACTGTCTCAGAACAAAACACAGAGGATCCAGGAATTATAGTCATGCTGCCTTCAACTGCAACAAAAGAAATGACAATAGATATTTTGTGTGTGTGTGACTGCTAGCTCTCCGATTCGGCACCCTCAGCATTTTCAGGTTAAAGACCGAAACTTGGACACCCACAAAGGGCTTAAAGTCTTGCATGACATTTCTATTTCTCATTTGGTTAGATAAACTACCCCATACTGTCCTCAGAAAAAAAAATGGAAAATGCAGGATATCAAAAAGACTATGCCATCTTCAGAATGTGAAACCTTCAGTTTTCCACCGAACCCAGGGTTCAAATAAACAAGAGATGCCACCATAACATTTCTTTTTTTTTGAGGTAACAAACATTCCTGATATTGGACAGAAAACAAACATCCAGTCCTCATGGGTCCTGTGTTTGCCAGTAGCTTTGCAAATTGCTTCTAGCTGTATAAAGAAACACTTCACCTTCCCGACTCCTTCTGCGCTCTCAAAACAATTATGTATAGCAGCATAACATATTGCTAGTTGGACTCCTACAGGCCAGACAACATTCTCTGACCCACAATGCTTATTTGAAGTTGGAAGAAAAGAACGAGGAAAGCCTTTGTAGCTTGTATAAAAATCCTCTCCGCTTACAGCTACATTGTTCTAAAAATAAGACTGGAGACCCATGAAAAGACAATATGGAAATTCCATCTCAAAAAATAGTTTAATTCTTCTAATAAAATAGGTAGAAAACCTGTGATCTCAAATCATATCTACTTAAAATTTATTGTGCAGTAAATACACGCGATTAAAAAATGCAGAGTCTCTGGCCACTCATGCTGAAGACATCAGATACATTTTAATCAACACTGTGTTAAATTACTACCAGTAAACACACTATGGCTTTATAAAGTAGACATGACAATTACAAACGTCCATCATATCTGCTTTAAAATTTGTACAAAAGCTTTATAAATATATAAAATTGGGCCATTAATGGCCTAATAGGGGGAATACAGTCTCTTTTAATGAAACAGCTTAAAACTCAAAGAGTTATATAATCAGGTTCGATATGGCACCAGTTCATTTAATGCTATCTACTTGCACACTGCAGGACCCATTTGGATAATGATAAATGCATTTTGATTTGCAGTTTACAACAGAGCTATTAGGCACTGAATAATAAAAACCTGTAAAAACCTGGACTAATCACAATAAATCTTGACTGCAGCATGAGGTATTATGGAACAGGAACCTTTGTCTTTTTTTTCTTTTTTTCATTTTTTTTGGAATAGCGCAGAAATCACATTAAGTAAAAACTGATCACATAAAAAACTACAAAAACAAACAAGATGTCAATAATATCATAATTTTCTATGAGAAAATTAAAAACTATTACATGGCAGTATATTGACATTGTAATAAAAATGATCCACAAAATAGCAGCAAACACTTAAGATAAGAGAAAAAAAGCATCGTTTTTTTGTCTATATTTTTTTTAAGTTTTCATACTTTTGCTGGGAATTTTTCCATAGCATAGCAGCTCAATAAAAAAGGAGTGTCGACTCCGTTTTAGTTTTTCTCATTGTACAATCAACACCTTAGATCGGCAGTTATTCACTTACATCATACCATCTCATTTCCCTCATACAGACACTTCAATTGTTTCCTCCAGCTTCTTCCTCCACTTCTTTCTAGAAATACATCTCCATGTTGTGCAAATCTTCTACTAGCCTCTAAATTTATGTCAAATGTTGGGAAACACATTGGAACGATACTTTTTTCTTTCTTTTTCAAGTACACCAATTCTACCACTGTTTTAACTATGGTGTTTCTTCTTGTACATCAACATCATAAGTAGGGCCTACAGACTTGTGGGCTGAGCTTTTGCCTTGAACAGATAGTGACAAACACCAGTTTGTTAGCAATCATGCACTTTAGCAGGTTTAAATATTCGTAAAAGACTAAGCAATTATTTCATAATCCATACTGGCCTCAAGAAATAATATTTTTGCAATAAATAGTCCTTAATTTTAATATAGCTATAAATTAGATTTTTAGTGTTTAAAATGTTTCAGATGCAGACAAAGCAATAAACAATACAATGTTAACTTATCTCTTCAGGTGTTCATATAATGTACACCTTATAGACCCTACTTAAGAGGATGGCATCATACTTACACCAGCATCATTTTTTACTGGGAAAAATAAAAAGCCGTGACATCAGCACTATAGTTAGGCAAAAATTCACCAAAACACCATGTTGAAGAAATCCTTTCCTTTTCAAATAACACCATAGTTAAACAGACTTGTTTTGCATTGCAGAGACAAGCCTTCCAATATTCCTAAACCATTCCATTTTGTCATAATGTCCCACATGGTTTTCCTAAGAGTCAGTAATCTGTAATTGACTGAAAGTGCTTTTAAATGGAATGGTTTTAGAAAACAAATAAGACAGAATAATCATAAAACTACTGTGGATTGCACTAGGGGCTTGACAAGGATTTTAGTTAAATCAGCTTATTAATACACAGCTAACTGCAGAAATGTTTAAGTTGCTGATGACAAAATATAGCTCTTCTGCCCATCTGCATACCCACAAATATATTCATGAGCAGTTAATTGGACTTAATCGGGCAGTATTAAGGGATGCACTTCAGAAGCCAAAAGCTCAGGCAATCCACAGACTTCTAAAGAATAACATATTATAATGTATGCTAAAACAAAATACACTATAGGGTTACATTAACCATTTAAAAGGAGAAGAGGATAAGCTCTAAAGAACTGATTTTTTAAAAAAAGAAGACGAGACAAAATTATAATAAAGTGACTAAAGGTGAAAGCAAGCAGACACAGAGATGCCTAGACTGCAATGAAGCTAAATCTGTAAGGAAATTATAAATTGTACTATCTAAATAAACAAGAAAACAAAACAAAAAACCTCTTCTACTTTAAAAATGGTTTCTCACACTTTAAACAAAATGAAACTGGACACCTCTCCTGGAGACAATTCCATTTTTATACCTACTTGTTTGTATAAGATTGTAGGCACACTTTCTTGTATACAAACTAGTTGATTATTGTCTTGTATAAATGTCTATTTTTTGTGGCATAACCTTGTAAGTTACGCATATACTACTTTTTTTTTCTTTTTTTATAAAGAAAGTTTTATTTTTTTTAGTATTTTGGAAATTTTCAGAATTTTCTGTATTTTTCTGCCACAGGCTGAAGGGAAGAAAAGGTGGAGATATTCAAAAGAATCGAAGCATTGATCCCTTCTTTTGCATTCGTCATCCTGAAGATATTTTGCTGCGTTACTTTTTTTTGTGTGTGTAGGGATGGTAGGCCAACATGTCCTTCCCGAAAGCCTCTTTGTCATGTTGCCATGGCAAACTCCATGGATAGTCCAGTCAAATGTTCACATCTCGCACATCCGTTGGTGTGCAAGAGAGGTCCACTTCTTCCTCCACAGTCTTTGTTTCTGAAGAGATGCTGTGCTGCTGTGCCTGTCGCAGGCTTGTCTCAAGAAGCATTTCAATCTGCTCCTGGCAGGCCCTCAAACAATCCTTTTAGGAAAAAAAAGGGTAGGGGGACATATCAGTATCAATGCATTTACATAGCATGTTCAATTGTTTAGAAACTAACTTTATAATTCCAGAATGTATTTCTAACATTAGCAGGTTCCCTAATTTTCACATTATATATAGCTGTATTTCAGCCTCAAACAGAAAATACCCTTATTTAGATGATTTAATGAAGAGTTAATATTTCTTTCTTTCTTCATACTTTGGGGTTGTTTGGTACGTGACCATTTTAAGTTTCTTAACTAATTCTTTGACAAACAAAATCATACACTTGTGGCATTTAGGGCTTGATGACCTCTAAGGGTTGGGCAAGCAGATTAAATAATCCTCCGATCATGTCATTGTGTGTGTAGAGGGAGAAAGAGCCTGTTTTTTCTTTCTATAAAGATGCCTTGCTCAATCCCAGCAAGAATGTCGCTAACCCTTATGAAAAAGAACTGGTGAAAACATCAGCTGTTGTCATTTAGAAGCAAAAAAGTAAAAAAGGGCAAAATTTGTCATATCTAAGACAAATCACATACCATGTAGCTGAACAATGAGATCTGCCTGATGCCTGTTTAACAAATGCTACACACAAAAGAGCACCCATTCCAACTTATTGGACAACTTCTACATCTTAAAAATAAACACCATTGGCTGTCAGGTGTACAGTCATTTCCTTGCAAAGGAAGACACTTTTTTCCATTCACAACCACTCTCTTTGACCTCCATCAGGTCTCTGTCCAGGCAGAGGAGTAATCACTGTTGCATGTAAACTTGCCATCAAAGTTGTTAGCATCCACATGACTGAGAATGAATGTTGTTTCCCTAAGAATGTCTCTGGCCTGCTGCTTGCTTTGTTCACCCCCTTCAAGTCTGCTTGAACTATTCACAAGCATCATATAAGATCTCCCTTTTGCTCACTTTTGCTTTTGCATTTAAGAAAAGCAAGCTGTGTGTGACTGCACTAGACCTCTCCCATCCCATCTTAGAGTTAACACTGGTTTTTCTATACCGTCCAATCACATTGGCCTTAGTGAATGAGGAATGAGGAATGAGGAATATCTAATTCCCCCTTTTCAGAGTGATCTGGCATATCTTCTAGAGTATGATAGATTTGACAAATAACCTTCTTGCAAAAATGACAGCCTATGTTAATTTGTTGTTCTAGAAATTGGAAAGCACTTCTTTGAGGTGTAAACAATGAGGTTTACTCATTCACTTTCAGCTATTAGTTTTACTTTAATTTCCTTTTGAGAGAGGTCTACAGTCAGCTTATCTTATTGTAAATTGTGCTTCCGGTTCATATCCACTTACTACTGTCATCGTTTAAGTTTTCCAACTAAGGAAAAAGTTCCTAATCCTTTTCCTCAAAATCCAGGACTGGCTGCATGCTGCCCACTTAAAAGTCCCTCACTAAACTCCACTCTTTCCTTCGATTTCTTTTGGCTGTTTTCTGCTGAGCAGGAACATCCTAAACAATGGAGCATATTGTGGGGTGTCCCCTCAAGTAGGAGGGCAGAGGATTAGTCTCAAGACAATAAACCATGAGGAGATAGAAACTCAATCTGGGCAAGAGATTTCCTGGCCTGAAACAATGAAAGGTAAAGCAATTCCCTGTTTAGGGTTAGAAGGATGGATCCATTCAAATGTGGAGTATTGCCCAAGGGCCCTGATTGTAATTATTTGGCTTTTAATTGCCTCAGATCAAAGAGAAAACAGGAAATTGGAGCTCTGCTAGGGTATTAAAAAGTTATTATCAAGAACCACATAATTTTATGCATACACCCTTACTTTCTTTATGACCAAAAATAAAATATTTGTATTTAAAATGTAATTTGGGCAAAAAAACTGATTTAACCTGAGAGTGACTGTTTAAGATTTAGAAAGAATATCTCCACAATGTGCAACTAACAGGACATAAGCTACACTTGAAAGCAGTTACTGCTACTACAGTAAAAAAGAACATTAACAACAATACAACCAATAAAAGAACCCAAGCACAGAACTGCATTTTATGGGACTGACCTATACAAGCATTCCTGCAATTTTTCTCTTTCAAAGTGATCTTTCCATTGCACACCTCTCATTACCAAACCATTATTCAAAGACGGCTACTTCGCAGACACACTGTCTTCAGTGCTGACAGACTTTGATGAACAAGCAGTCACCATATCACATCGGGGTAAATTGGATTCGTTCTGGGAGGTTTTTTTCAGACCTCACAAGAACCGGCCCTTTCAGTGAAAGACAAAGGCAATCACATCTCTTGACTTTACAGATCATTGTAACACGGATCATTGAATTTAAGCCTCTGCTTGAAGCTCTCTTCCTGCTCCATTGATTCACAGGGTGTTTACTGCTAGCTACCTGCTGATACACACCTCTTGTTATTTATCAGGAATAAAGGGATCTTCACTGTGTCAGCCACACAACTGACTAACCGCAGCACCCTCTTATCTTACATGGGGTATTCACTGGCAGCAGGAATGTGGGTCTGACGCATACAAAAATTCTAACTGGATAAATAAAACACAATGAATAAAAGTTTTATAGCACTATGTAATATAATTAACTCCATAAGAAGTGGGAGTGTGGGCCTAAGGTTAAAGATACAAGTCTATCACATTTCTACAAACCTATTTCTGGTTTTTCCACAGGAAACCTTTTTTACCAGGTAATTGACTGCAGTCTGTCCTACAGCAGCAGGCTCCCACAATAGCATGCTGTTCAGGTTTCTGTGCTAGTGTGCAATATTTCTCATCTCAGTTCTTCACATACCGGATCGCTCTTGATGACTTGCGATAGGAAGTCTGTGAGGTTCTGAGACGATAGCATCATGTCCAGACTCTTGAGGTGAAGACCCTGAACTGCCGCCGCCACACTTCCAGCTGCGACCATCGAGGGTGGATTGGCAATAAATTTGACATCTGAAGCAAAGAGGGGAAAATGCACATTTGTTAATTTGTATGCTCAGGCTTGCAGACATCATCTTGCGTGCTTAAATGCTTGTTCTCTTTTAATGGAGAGGCTGTTGCGTCTCGCCATTCCAATTCTGTTTTAATAATAACCTGATTGACTGTGCTGGATAATATGAGGAATCAAACATCTGACGTTAACACAAAACCGGGGGGAGGGGGGGATAATGTTAATAACCAGGTCCTGCTCATTGGCAAATCTGTAAACTGATAACTTTGCGAGCAGACGTAGGGAGCAGCCTGAGGGTTGGGGGGCGTGGCGTGAGCTCATATTATGTGGCATCACAAAATAATGGTGAGGCCTCAAGAACTGTCCAATGAACAACAACAACATTTTGATGGGAACCCATGCTGACAAGTGGCAGGATGTCCTGCCAGCTTGCTGTGCTGTAGGCCTCACACAGCCTTGTTTCACCACCAAGCCTTGTTCTTTTGACTATCTCTTACAAACATCTATCATGTTAAAGGCAGGCCAGCAGGTGTCAACCAAATCAAATGAGCAAAACAGTTTCCTGGGCTGAACGCAACAGAACGAAAAAAAATCACATTTCCAAAGCAATTCACCCTCAAGATGCTTATTCTTATGTACTCACAAATCAGTATCTGTCTTTTGGTTTGGTTGGGTTTGTGTGTAAGACATTGACCACTTCCTTTTTTACGTGCTGAAGTGATAATACCTCCTAAGCAAGGCTTTCTCATACGCCAGACTGTTTGTTGCTCAGATCCACCTCAGACAAGCGACTTGGCCCGTCTATTGTCAAAAACCAACAAGGATTTATTTACAGCACTGGCCATTAATTTCAGCATATTAATTAGGGGGCCCTTGAGTCTGTAATTGGATGCCCCCTCTCTCTCTAAGTAAAAGAGTGTGGCATCATTGTCAGCTTCCATTGCCTCATCTTGCACCATTGAGAGCCCAGAAACAAGGACACTGCGGTGAGATGAATTGAACCTGACACAGGCACAAAGAAAAGGAGGCCCCCATTCATTTATGCTCATATCCCCACTAACCTATCCTAGACTCCATCCAAAGGGGAATAAACAACTTCAGCTCTGTTGAAAAAAAGCTGGAATGCCAGCCACCCTGAAGGGGAGACAAAGCAAGCAGCCCCGCTCTTAAAAAGAACGAAAGGAAAAAAAAAAGTGCAAGGCGAGTCACCTCTTTTCCTTTCTAAATGGAGCAGTTCCATCCATCTCTGCAGGAGCTAGGGGCTACGACTGAAAATATTTCATTGAGGCAAATCAAAATGACTTCTGTGAAGTGTTCCAAAGAATGGGATGCAACAGGTTTCAACTAGCTGCATACCTTAGCCAAAGCTCACTCAACACAAAGCAAATACAGGAACTGCCACATGTATCCTTTTTTCCATTCTGTAATATTATGTGTCTTAATTTGCTTGCCTTGCAATGTACACAAGCATGATTAAAAGCTCCAGAACCCATTTTCACCTTTCTGGCCTTTCTTCAAGTACCATGTTTTCTTGGGTGCCATTCGTCATCTTACTTCCCTAAAAATAAACTTTCTTCTTCAGACAACCACAGCATAGACCTGATATGCCCAGACACACTCGTTTAACTAAATTAAGTGCTAAAACCCAAACAACGCCACAAAACAACTAGTTTCCCCTTGACCTGCCACTGCATAAAAGAGCTTCCTTAGCACAAATTCCCAACTTCTAAAAAGACTATCCAAGAGTTAACAAAGACAAATGTTGCTTAACATCATCTTGAAAGTAATTCTTCCTGTTTTTAAAAGTAAATGTACAATTCACCTTGCCTCCACCCTGCTGAGACAGGTTTTATCAAGTGGAAATTATAAGGTGTAGCTTCGTATGTTTAACTGTTGTGTCTTCCTCTGGGGTAGTTGCTCAGTGTGCATTCCCAATGTGGGATTCAAGATCAAATTTACGTTTTAACATTCACTTTTACTTCAATATTTGGTTTAGCTATCCAAATTAAACACTGCACATTACTTAATCCTATACATATACATTCTCTTATCTTCCAGATAAAACACACACTGGCAGGGTAAGAAACTGACACAAAATGTAGAATGCCTCAGTTGCTCACTTTCCTCACTGTAAAACAAATATCCTACAAGTTTTTCTGGATGGAATTTTTGAATATGTTTCGTCCTCGAACATTACAGACCCAAACTCTGCTCTGATTCAGATCCTTAAGACTTGGATACACAAGCAATACATGGTATAAATAACAAATGTTGTGAAACCTTGACTATCACATGGGTCAATAAATCCAGTGTTTGGTTAATCTCTAATGACAAGCCTTGTGCTGTGCTAAATAGTGCACATTAACAGAAAAATGTACAGGGGCACTCCTTTACAGAAAAACAGTGTAGGAGTACACGTTTGGAACTGTAGGTTAATTCCTTACATAAATGACTTATGGTTGAAAGCTTTTACACAGATAATACGAACTGTGGAATATACACAATTTTCTTTTAAGTTGCACCACGCCATGTGCTCTCACAGTTCCGTATAGGCACAGTTACCATGCCACAGCTCCAGAACCAAGCCCAGACCAGCTGAACTAAATCAACGTACAGTACAAAGTGAAAGCTTAATGTAAAATAGACGTCATCTGTGGGTTAACGAATGGGAAATATATTAAAACAAACACTTTTTGCCAATGCTTAAGTTACCCATACCAAAAACATACTGCAATGTATAATATTCCTGCACCACTGCACATGCGGTTTATCACATATGTGGATATTTCACGTTATGACGACATTTCCAGTGTGGATAGCTCACAGTTCCCCGTGCGTACCTGTTGCACAAAGAGCCACAAAAGTCTGCGCGTGTTTGCGAAGAATTTGCTTGGTGTCCATGTGGATGGGCAGTTTGGAAAGGAAATGTTCAATGAAATCATGAGGCGTCACTGAAGCAAGATCCCATTTCAGCTTATTTAACACCAGTAGTTCCATTTGCTGTGGAAAAGAACATAAAATGAAATCAATTTAAAGTAATGGCCTGCGAATTTCCATCAAGAAACGCGTTGTTGTCCAGCACGCATTAGCGTGAGAAGGTTATTCTGGCACTTCACAGCTCTAAATTGGAATACTGTATGCTCAGAGATGTTCGTCACGGGCTTCTTTCTACCGCAAGAGGGAGCTCTTGCCACACGTATTACCAGCGGAAAAGAAATTGGTAAAATTAAGTATCAGAATCTTAAAGTATTCTCATACAGTACTGATTTAAGACAAAATTGATAGTTTATTAATATATGTGAAAATATACCTGCGATTTTTTAAAGAAGACGCTGTATGATATCATAGATATATACGTAATACAACCAATGTCGAACATTTATCACAACTGTAAGTCAGTGACATTAAAAAATCGATAACATTCTGCAAGAATGCATTACAAATGATATGCATTACAGGTTTTAAAAAAGCAGCGTTACTATTTCCTTATTAAATCTCTAAGAGGAAAATAAGTGTGTTGATTTTAAATTACCAATAACTCGCTGGGTCTGATTGAATTGTCGGTGTAAATGCACAATTTCTCTGCAGTTAGCGGAATGGTTTCCTTCATTTTTGAAGCCAAAAACATACACGTAGCTCCCAGTAATTGTAATCTGGTTTTCTTAGTGGGTTCCACCGACAAAAATCTGTCCAGATAATTCATAGCCAAAGGAAACACCTCCTCTTCGCATTTCTGCTCTTCGCAGACCTGAAATCAAATAGAAAATAAAATAAGAAACAACACACAAATGCTTTAAATGCTGTGTGTCTGAATCAATACACTGTTTTAACAAAATCATAATATGAAAACTTTTGACATTTATATTTGCAAACGGAAAACTGTTGCTTTCTGCAAGCTATCCTATGCCCACTGTATATAATAGCTATATATCAGTTTTATTCTTTTCTAAACTTGTATTAAGTTATACATTTGGCAAAACTAAAACAATTTTATTGAACAGTACGGAAATTATCATTAGTTTTTGTTCCTTTTTTGCAGACGTTTTTTTCCAAGACACAAAGGTGGCGTCCCAAGCGACGTACCCTAAGAATTTTGTAGTTCGTCATCTTTTCAAAAAATATTTAAAAATATTTTAAAATTATTACAGAGCATAAAAATGGCATGGTAATGACCTGCAACGTGTACTTTATCAGTTGGTATCGAGAATTTACGATGTTTAGCGCAAATTATAAGTAAAAAGAACTAAAATTATAGCACATCGCTTTTCTGGAATGAGCATGCGACATTTCGGTATCGTCATGACGCGCAATTTCAAAAATTAATAAAAAATAGAAATAATTGGAAAATGTAAATATTAAAACTATGTAAATGTTGCAAATTTAGTCTTCTTTTCGACTGCTAAATTTTTGGAACGACTTCTAATATAACTACAGGTATTTTTTAACGTAATTTAGCAACAGCCTTTCCAAATACTGCTGCTGAAGCATGGTTGTATAGCTCTGTAAAAACTTTTAACAAAGAAACGTACCCTTTTAATATTCAAATCACCATTAAATTATACGAATAGCTTAAGTAACTGTATTTTGTTATATTCATGACATTTTCTTCAATCATCTGATTATTATAGAAATTTTAATATATTAAATACTTTACCGCACGAGAACAAAGATGGCGCATATTACTGGCACGAGTTGCACTGCATACGTGTACATTGATATTAATTTAAAATAAATTAAAATAAAATAATTTAGAAAGCTCCTAGGGTTAAAGAATAAACGAAAGTTTAATACCACAATACCCGTGTTGTACTACAAATAAAAGTATTGATAAAATCACCTCCGTATGTGAAAGAAGCCAGAAAAAAAGAAAAAATAAAAAAACATTGCAACGAAGTGGTGAACAAATAGCACAACGATATACAAAACAATTATGCAGACATACAATAGTAGGTGGAGGAAAAACGTGAACTGGATTAAATTTCTATTTTATATAATTCCTCATTTGCTGTGCATTTGATTAGGTCCAAAGGGCAGAGCGAAAAGTCAGGACAGAAAGCTTGCAGAATATAAACATACAGATTTATTTCTTTTTTCACACAAACCTCAAGCATCCATGTGGCAACAATTTTCCTCATATAAGGCACAATTTCTTTCTGAACACATTTGAAGTAGTTTGCAGAAGGAAGATAGTTCTCTTCAGCTTTTAGCATTGTCTGTAGCACTCTGTCATTAAGGAGGTTGACATCTTGGTAAGCTCTCCTGATGGTCTCTACTTCACAACACAGCAGCTGGTGTTCCATGTCTCTGCACTTTTTTAAGCTTTGGACTTTCGAAGGATTCAGACGGAGCGCTGAGCAAGTTTCTTGGATGCTGTTTCGCTGTTGCTGTTGCTGCTGCTGCTGCTGCTCAAGCCCTCTGGCGGCTCCAAAACTTCGCAGTCCTCAACAGAACTCCCCTTTAGTTCTGTACTAAGCAATGACGTTACTGTTGTTAAGGAAAGATCAAAGCCACTCCGAGCATGAGAGAGAAAGAGGCCTCAGAGAGGAGAGTAAGTCTTAAAGAGCTATCCCATATAAGTTCGTAGTCCTTCCCATCGCTGAGCTTTGCTTAGGTATGGAAATGGGGAGGTCCTTTTTCATGGTGGCGGCGCTGAGAGTGTATTGCAGGGGGGTCCAGAGGAGGGAGGCGGGGGTACATCGGATTGGGGTAGCTGTGTGTGAGGAGGGGGGGGATGGATAATAGACACATTCACGAAATTGTCCTTCAGGAGAATTTTTTTATTTTCATTACAGTCCCCCATACCACTTTCATTTCCTTTTTTTATAGAACACAAAACACAGGCAAATACGAGAAACAGGGGAGGTGTAAATCTACAGCTGTGTGCACTATTATTATCTTAAAACGTGTATTCTGCACTATTATAATTGTAGTGCAGATAAAACTATTTTGTATATTTAGTATACAAAAACAAATACTGAGGCATATTTAGATGGCTAGCCGTTGAATGTTGCCTTTATTCTAAAAATGAATGACTCTTGCTTTCTTTGTACCACGTTCTTCAACCATTTTCCGTATATTTGAGACAATGCAAACTAAACCACTATTAACAAAGTAATAACTTTTTTAACTGTTTAACTATATCTCTTATACATGGGCCTATTAATATACAGTTGGCAGATGGATTTAATCCTGTATTTCCTTTGGTCACGACGGAGTAATGGCTCAGGAATATGTCTTTTTAAAGCGGCATGTACTGTCTTTATAAAAAGTGCAGATCTATCTCCTTTCTGCGTGTGGCAATATTGGATAAACGAACTCGCCAACTTGAAAAAACTTGGCAGTAATTTCGGAGGAACATCCCCAACTCCCTCCTTTCACAATGGGAGGACACTGAAATTAGCTTAAACCAATGGGGGAGTGTTCTGTTACCAGGCAGAAACTGAAGCAGGAACTCCAGTGTTTCTTGTGGTGCAGTTGTTAGGGAAGGTTTAAAAACTTTCACACATTATCAAAAGTGGAAAGTTTCCGGTGGCGATGTCAAATGTAAACGTGTACTTATGTTATCGGCTCGTAACTACCCGTTTGTATAAATTTGGCACAGATGCTATTGTACTGTTTTTAGGCAATGCAACATTTTAAAGCATTTAAGTGCGTTTTTAAAGACATAGCCTTACACTGGTTAGAGAATTAATCTAGGCAAAATTATTTTTACTTGTAGACCCGAAGCCACGTGGTCTCAATGAAAAACATGTTACATATTCTCTACATTTGAAGATATATTTTAGTCGTAAGTGCCATTGTGTTTTGCAAAGGAATATCTCAGGTGATGTTTGAGTTACTTGCATTGCCCCATTTAAGATGAGTAGAAATTAGTTTAATATTGCCTTGTCGCATGTAAGGTATGTAAGGTAACGTTTGCCACGCACAATTTACACAGATGTAATACAATATTACCATTTCTTAAATACAAAATACTACCACAAAACATATTTAAATTGATAATTATCTATACATATCTACAATAAATTAAAATAATAACCTAAATACCTGCATAAATTGCATTATTTGCTCAAATGTGGTCTGTAATGCAGTACGAGTCTTAAAAGTATTTGCAACAAAAAATGAACTCTTCAATCACATGCACGTAAAATGCTGTGATAATCCAATCGTTTTTAAATTGGTATAACTCTAGATTACTGCAATGAAACACGACTGATTTCAGATGTACCATAAAAGATCCTTCTGAAGACCAGGACTTCTGGATGGCCCAGTGAAACTTAGAAAAACTAAAAAGGTCCTGCGAGTATTAATTCCTTCATGTATCTCGAAAGCAGAAAATTACTTTGTAATTTTTATAAAACCTTAAAGTATCTCTTGAATACTAAAATACAGTATTGTGAGTGCATCTGCTTACAAAGGAATAATAAATATATGCAGATTACGTAGGTATCTTTAAATATTGCACGCTGTCACTTTAAAGTAGCCCACTGTCGCTTGAACATAAATGAAGTCTACATTCCTGGCATTCCAATCTGTACCCATGTTAACAAGCCCACATGGGTTTCCTTTTGCCGTAAAATATGTAAAATACACGCATTTTAAAAGTTGACAACATCTAAGAAGGAAATGCATCTACAGTGAGTAATTACAGTTTTTGGAATGTTCCAATATTTGAAATTATTTAAACGTTTATTTGAAAATCTGATAATTTGATTATAGATTGTATTTGTGGAGAATGCATAAAAAGCAAACAATATATTTCTTTGATTCCGAAAATAGTTTTGCAGTTCAAAATGGTAATTAAGATAAATTATGGAGCACAATATGAAGGGTTGCATCCAGGTTTTGAGTATTTCGTTTATTTTTTAACATCAGGCAGCAAATGCACAATTAAAACAAACTGCAAACAATACTGTCACAAGGTAAGAGTCCACAAGATGTTTGAGGTTACAAGGCAGATGTATTTTGAAAATGTTTTTTCAAGCTGATTTTAAAAAATACTACAGATTACGCTTTGAAACCACTTTTCAAGTTAATTATTTTGTAAAATATTTCTCATTCTATCTTCATTGTAAGTTTACTAACTTATTTATCAGAAAACGCACATGCTCATTTTCTTTTATAAAACATTCTATTTTATTCACTACGGTAAATGGACAGGAAATAAAACCGAAGTTGGGAAGTATTTAAAGGTGCAGTGCATTCAAAGCGCACTTTGATCACCCTGGGAAGGCTAAATCATGGGATAATGAGAGTTTATAATGTAGTCCTCACAGTCTCCTAGTCTCACTAACACAGTACTATGAAACTTATGAAAAGTTTTATTTGAATAACTCAGTACACAATTCAATCAATGTAATACAATATGGAAAGCTGGAAAACATTAAAAGTCCTCATTCCAAACGTGCATTTTAGTAATGGAAATTAAACCTAAACTCTTCTTAACGTGTCCTATAAAAATATTTATATTTTGTATTATACTATACAGTCATTGAAGAAGGTAGAGGAATGGCTTAACCAATCAAATTTTGTTAAAAGTCGCCACAAGTTGTGATAATTTACATTCTAAAGTTTAAAAATAGTACTAAACCATATGCTGTATTTTAATAATCCAAAAATGTGAATTTATTTATATTTTAAAAGATGTACTTATGTAATTGAGATCACATACTCATGTATGAAAGTACAAGCCAACTAGTGTGTGTTAGCACCGTGGGAGCATGTGTAATTTATTAATGTTTGAGTGCAAAGTTACCAGGTAAAGATTTGTTTTTTATAAAAAATTCCTCTTCAAACAATTATTACATGGTTTTGGATTTGGAGGCATCCTCTCAAGATTTGTTTTTAGTTTTAGTTTAAAAGATTTTGCGAGAATGGTTTTGTTGAAGGTTAACTCTGTTCACAGTTTGTCACATGCTTTTCTTTCATAGCGAAACTGAAGGCAAACCACAATGCTTTTGAATGCTAAACTAGTGAGCTTTTGTAAATGTACGATTTATTTTTCTATTTTAAATGCAATGTATGCTACATTCTGTATATGTTTAATATTCTAATTACAATGAAAAGCCCAAGTTACATTTTATTGCCACACATATTTCAGATGTTTCACTGTGCATTTTGTGGTTACCAATACAATTATCTAAGGTGGGAAATTCATGTAATTATATTATACCTGTGTGTTTTTCATTCCATAAAAAGGTGCATGTTGATCTATCCTCAGGGACAAAAGAAGTGAAAGTAAAAATCTCATGTAAGTTGCTGGAAATTCAAGGTGTTTTTTGATGGTAATTTTGTTTGGAGATGTTGGAGAATGGTAAGATACATCACATTTCCTGTTGGCATACAGCTAATTGTTTAAAATAAATTCCTTGTAGTATCCCTCAGTGGTATATTAGAAGGGAAAAAAACTGGAAGGTTCATTTTATCTTTCCAGACTTGGTCAACAAATTCAAGTACAATCTAGAATTTGATGATTATTAAATGTCCTATATAACCTTAAAGTGGTTATACGCTTAGAAATAATATTATATAAAGGTTACTGTATATTACTATGTACTATTATAAAACATACATTTGAGAATTAACTGAAATAAAAAAGTGGAGAATAGTGTTCAAAATTCCTCTGAACAGATTTTCTCTGGCACGTATTCAGTAAATGATATGGAAAATAATATTTGCACTTGCTGCATTTTGAGAAAAAACAGAACTACAAAAAGTTCTACAGAGAGTACAACTGCAGTTTTTGCAGTTTTAATGAATTTATGAAAATTCATTAAAACGGCTAAAAAATCCTTTATTATCTATTAATATGTTGCTTTGTGGGCGACACAGTAGAGCAGTGGTTAGCGTTTCTGCCTTGCAACTCTGGGTTCTATATGTGAGCTGCTTTCTTTGGGAGTTTGTAGGTTTTCTAAGACTTTGCATGGGTTTCCTCGGTGCACAGTCTGAAGGCATACTCGCAGGTCAGTTGTCTTCTGGGAAAACTGGCCATTAGATAAAGCAGTTATAAAATGGGTGAATGTTTGCTTTGTGTATGAAAGCAATATGACGTAGGGAGGTTCTGCAGACCAAATGTCTGCTAAGAACTAAGAGGTAGTCAGGCTTGGGCAACAAGAAAGGTGACTTGGGAGTTTTGTGAAGTTTGTGCAAAACAAATTAAACAAATATTTGTTTTTTAAATATTGTATAATTGTATTCTTATGGCTCCAGTAGTGCAAGCAATAATAATTATAATCTTTGTGTTCCTTTTTAATGCTCTATCCTTATTCTTTCTTTGATTTAGTATCATAGATTCCATTTTACAACACAGAGTTTCGTTTTCTCATAAATTGATTGTTATCAGGAAAAAGACCTGTAGTTAATATATAACAATATCGGATGCTGTTCATTTTTAAGGTGACAAGTCATTTCTTAAGGCATTCTTAGTCACTTAGATGTATATCATAGGACAGCACAAGGGGACTGCTGAGAAAGGGCTCCTAGCATGTGTCAAGTCATAAAAATCCATGAAAGGCCCTACAGATGACTCTGACAGAATGTGAGCACTTTGGCCATGTTAACTGTTTGGCCTCAGGGTCTTCCTCAAGTTGGAAAGCTAGGTGAGGCCCAACA